CAATTTTCAGCAGTCATGTTCCAGAAAATGTCAACATCACTCAGAAGGGATGCATAGTTATTGTGAAGGGTTCCAGAGTAATGCTGCAGAGGAACTTCAGCCACATCGATGCAGAACTCAGTCTACTTGCAAAGAAAAAGAGGCTCCAGGTTGACAAATGGTTGGGAAACAGAAAGGAGCTGTCTGCTTTGTTCCCATGATCAGTAGTCATGTACAGAACATGATCAAGGGTGTTATGGTGGCTTCTGGGTATGTGTGACACTTGCCAGTCGACATTGTTATTCAGAAGAATGGGTTTCTTGTTGCAATCTGGAATTTGTTAGGTGAAAAATGCATCTACCAGTTTCATCGGAGCACTGGTGTTGCTTGCTCAGTATCTCAGGCCCATAAAGAAGAACTAATCCTTGAAGGAACTGACATTGAGCTCATTTCAAACTCAGCTGCTTTGATTCAGCAATCAATTACAGTCAAAACAAGGATATCAGAAAAATTCTGAATGCTATCTATATTTCTGAAAAGGAAGCAGTTCAGTGCCTGATGAGTAAGATCGAAGAGTTAACCAGCCACAGAAATGAGTTTCTGGATTGGAAGACCAATTTGTGATATTTTAATGATAGAAGATCTCTATTGAAACAAAAAAGAAAGAAGATCCAACAATATGCTGCATATGTTCTTGTCTAGTTCACTTTGCAACCATCATTCTGGAGAGAACTGAGTTCATGAACCAAGTTACCCCTGTATTTCACTCCAAGCTGCACTTGACTTGAGGATTTGCTGGAGAAGTCTTCTGTGATTCTATTGTGTTTGCCTATATAGGTGATTCTTTTCTTTTACATCTTTTAATATTCTTCTTTGTGTTTGATTTCTGGAATCTTGACTATTATATACCTTAGTCTATGTTGTTTTTCAGTTTTGCTTTGTTTTGCTTTTATCCTCATCTTGGCTATTTGAAGTGCCAAGTGTCTTACTTATCTGTATGTTACCTTCTTTTCCCATGCTTGGAAATTTATTATTTCTGTGAACAGGTTTTTTTTTTTTTATGCTCTTTGTGTTATATCTGATTTTTCATTGATTCCAATTAATCTTATATTATTCTGCATTATCTAGCAGCTGTTGGATTGATTTTTTTGTGGTTCTTTGCTGTTTCTAAGAAGTGTTAATCTCCTGGTTATATGTTTGCATTGGCATCCAGTTCTTTCCTATGTCGAGCATTCATGGTTTCCATAAGATTCTCTGTCATCCATGTCTACTCAAGGTTCCCTACCCATGTCTTTCACTGCGGTTATCATCTCTTTATTTATCTGTGTAATTCTTTCTTTCTTTGCTTTTGTGTTTGTCTAGGGACATATTCATCTGCTTCGTTACATCTGCTCCTACCATTTCATAAAGCTTAGCTGGGTTCCTTTTGAGTTTTTCTACTTCATTACCCTCTGGGTTGCTTTGGGAGAACTCAGTGTTTTCATTGCAACTTGCTTCTGTGTTTTTCATTTTCTTTTTTTTTTTTGTTTGTTTATTTGTTGTCCATATTGAGACTTACATGTTGTTTATGGTAGTTAGTTTTAGTACCAGTATCAAGATCTCTTTTTTTTTTTAAATTTTATTTAAGAGGAAAAAGAGAAAAACACAAAACAAAACAAAGCAGTGTAAGGGTACACATAATACAGAACTACAAAAAAAAAAACATAACAGTAAGAAATCACCTGTAAATAGATTACATATTATCATCTTGGAAATAGTTGCTCAAATCACAGTATCAAAGAATACAAAGTGGACATTCAAACAGAGAGACTGCAAACAGCTGAGATACTAACTACTAGGGCCTGGGGATTTAGCTCAGCGGCATAAGCGCCTGCCTTGCAAGTGTGCGGTCGCGAGTTCGATCCTTGGTACGGATAAAAAAAAAAAAAGAAAAAGATACCGACTACTTTTCAGAGCTGTCTTCCAGGCATACCCGGCTTTTGGCCTGTGAGTCTGTCCCAGGATCCTTCCCCTTCTGTTTAGTGGGGATGAGAGGTTGCAGCCTGTTTGGTCTATTACCTGGTTCTTTGGTATCAGGCTGTAGTACTGTTTATGGACCCCAGACAATCTAGGTATTGGCATCTGGAGGATCAGTTGATCACAGTAGCTGTGTTACTTGGCATAGTAATAACTATAGTATCAAACACAAACTGGAAAATGACAAAATGTAATAACTAATACTTTGTCATCTTTAACCCTAAGCACAACGTTTATAGTTATATAGCAAGATCTAAGACAAAACAGAAAATTATATCCAGTAAATATCCCCTTGATAGAGCAATTTTACCCCTTTCACCATAGAGCACTATTCAGCCGCAGTGAGATACAGTTAACCACCTGTAGATTCATAAGGGCAGGTGATGTGGGTGTGATAGTATGAAGAAGCAAGAGAAAAAAAATAAATCATGAAAAAGCAATGGTGGATGTGAGGAACATGGTAAGATTGACATAAAAACTGCTGTTAATCAGTAGTAATAGAGAACAGTAGCAGAGACGATCTCCAGAAAAGGACAGATAATAGGGAGTGGACATTAAGCTAGAGGAAAATAAAATAACAAAAAATACTAAGGGAATAAAAAGTAATAAGAACTGTGGGAGGAGAAAACCTAAAAAAGTGTAATTGTTATTGTAAAAAAGAGAGGGAAGGAAGGTAGACTAAAGGATATAACTGCATGTATGTTCAAGTGTGTAGGATGGAAAACCATATTACTGAGCTTTTGTTGGATCATTGAATGAACTGTCTGCAATCTCACTGTATGAATGTCCACTTTATATGCTTTAATTTTATAATTTGGACAACTATTTCTAAGATGACAATATGTAACCTATTAACTAGTGATTTCTTAATGTATTTTTTTCTTGAAATTCTGTATTATTTGTACCCTTTTACTGCTGTTTTTTTTTTTATTTCCTTTCTTTTTTCTCTTTAAAAAAAAAAAAGATTAACAAGAACTTTAAAAGGGGGGATTTAGCTCAACGGCATAAACGCCTGCCTGGCAAGTACAGTACCAAAAAAACAAACAAACAAAAAAAAAACAACAAATGAGAATGACTTTAAAAACATTAAAGTTTTTAAAATATTTTTTAAAAAATACTAAGGGAATTAGTTGAAACAAAGTGTGAAAAGAAGGGGGAGAGAGAGAATGAAAGGAGAGAAATACTGTGTTGCTTACATTGTTCTGTTCTGATCTGTTTTGTTATGTCCTGTTTTATCTTAATCTCTTTAAAATTAAAAAAAGAATTAAAAAAAAGAATAAAAGGAGAGACTGTTCAAACAGTAAAACAGAGTCATTTAAAGAACAAGAAAATGGATGATAAAACTACAAGCTCTGCCAAAAGAAAAAAGTAGTACAAAAAACAAAACAAAACCTTACCAATAATGAAGGGGAAAATGAGACAGAGAGAGAGGAAGGTTCCGATATATTTCCAGAGGGAGATTTTCTTCCCAGGTCAGCAGTCTTTGAAATTATAAGTCACATTCGTTTTTGCCCCTCTCGATAGTCTGTGAGCATCTGTGGAGATCACTGAGTTCAAGGGCACCTCTCTCCGTAGTCTCTTGTTCGTGGCAGCTGCTTGGGCTGGGTGATCAGACCAGGGAAGGGCTGAGGCCTTTTTTCCTTGTTTCTTGGTGTGGGTTCCTTTAGGGAGGGGACTGTTGCTGGTTACCTAGCATATATTCCAATGCCTGTGGCTCAGCTCCTGATATCACGTGGAGGTGTCTACAGCTCTCAAACCTGCTTCTCAGTCCTGTGGATGTTCAGAGGAAAAACAAATCGACCCAAGACTAGCGTGGGCAGGTTTCTGCAAAGCCAGTGCGGCTGCAGAGCATTGGGTGATGTCTTGTAGGTGTCCTGGTTACTGGGCAGAATAGGCAGCCGACCTTGCTGCTTAACCTGGCCAAGACTAACCTATGGTGTTAGGTAGGCATCACATCTGGGGCAGTGGCTAAATGCAGGGTAGAGATTCTCCCCTGTCTAGGATGCTTGTGAAATCCTGTATAAACCCTGGTTCCCTGGGGACTGATGTTAGATGTCAGACAGAGACTCTGGTAGGACTAAGATCAGCGCAGAGTACTAAGAGCTTGCTGTGGGCTCACACTAGCTCTGAGTGCTGAATATAGACTCAAACTGGAGCAGACTCTTTGTGTCCCAGTTTGTGAGGGATAAGCTACAAGCTGCCAGCCAAGACTCAGGTGTGCTCTGGGTCCAGTATTGAAGACTCTCAACACAGGAAAATATTATGTTTTTCCTGAGTCTGAGAAAAAACAGAGGGAGGGAGCATCTCCCTGGTCATTTGTGCCTGGTGTGTGGAAAGCTGCAGAGTTCTCTCTTTGGAGAGGGACAGTGAGGCAAAGGGCCCATACACCCAAGTCTATCCGTGTGGCCTGACTGCCATGCTGCTTGGATCTCACCACCTGTTTTGAGAGCTTCTTGTTGGGCATGGGTTGAGGCCCTGCAAGACTGTCTTTTTGGACTGTTTTGTCACTTTTAAACTCCTGTGTATATGTTTTTGTCCAATCTGCAAGTCTCTTCTTTTAAAATGATTTTTTTGCATCAGGGTGTATGTCCCTCCCCTCTTCCACTTACCTATGTTTTTAGTTGATGTTCTCTGAGTGTCTCAGATATAATACCTCCTCCGTTCAACCATGTTGGACTGCTCTCGTATGTTCTGCTTTTTGATATTTTTTTCTTAAACAAGAAGTATAAATTTGGGGAGAGCCAAAAGGGCAAGAACAAAATAACAACAGCAAACTCATTTAGCAAAGAGCAGTCCCTCTCGGGGGACAATGGTCTGGTCACTTGGTGGATCACAGTAGAGGCATCTCTAAGGCCAGCATTTTCCAGAGCATCTGACAAGTGTTAGGCTTGCTTTCATGGTCTTTCAGCTGGCCAGTACTCAGTAAGAGTACGTGATGGAGGGAGACAGTTGGGAAGCTGTGCTCCCCGTTGCTTGGGGCTCACCTCTCCACCTTACCCCTACAGCCTTTCCGTTGTGCTCACTGCCATTATTCCTGCAACATCTCTGGCTCCCTCAAGAGGCACTACAACCGGAAACACCCCAGCGAGGAGTATGCCAATGTGGGCAGTGTGGAGCTTGCAGCCGAAGCACTCATCCAGCAAGGTAGGTGAGGGCCCTGAGGCCTGCCAGCTGCCCCCGTGAAGAGCAGAGGCCTCTCACTGTCACTTCTGATCTGTGAACATCCAGTTTTGTTAGTTCATCGTCATCACTGTCATCTTCCTCACTTTTGTTTACCAACATCACTCATTGCCTGGTTAATATTACAGCAATCTTAAGTGCAAATCTAAAACGAGCAATAAAAATTTGCTCACGGATTCTACTGTGCCCAGCAGTGTTACTTTAGTAGTACTACCCTCCTCTCCTTAACCACACTTAACATTTGCAGAGGAAAGTTCAGAGTCTTTTCTTTACTCATTACAGACCCACAAGAACACTTTTTCTTTGCTTTAATGCCTTCCTAATTATAACTTCTAAGGCTTTTTTGTAATATAGCATTGAGTACAAGTACTTTCCCAGTTCTATTACTGAACATGGTGGGATTTCTAGGGCTTTTTATGTTTGCAATTATAACTAATATTATCGTAAGCATACTTATGGATGAACTTTTTGCATCATCAAAAAGTGCTGAGTATAGAGATTACCTATTCATTCTAAAAAGGAAGACTATTTTAGGACATTGAAACTAATGAGAACTGCTGAAAACTTTTGATAGTACTGAAAAGTTTGTTGTTTTTCCAATGTGTAGTCACACATTTTCACTTCTGAGTTTTTAGCTCTTGAGCTGTTACCATAGAGAGAAATGCTGCTGTATTTAGATCTGCACTGTGGTAAGATTGATTGCAACGTGCAGCATAGTGGGTACTACTCCAAGTCTTGTGGACTGCTGGAGACAGTTTTAGAAATCTGCCCCTGGTAAACAGAGACGGGGCCGTGAGCCCAGCTGTAGTTGGGGAGCTCAGTTATCTAAGTGGGCACGAACCTCTGCTTGCTATAGTGACCATGAGATGCATCTTCACGTGAAACAAATGAATTGACTGTGTCCTTCAACACTGTCAGTGACAGAGAGAGTGTACAGAAATAGGTGAGCACTTAGGAATCTCAGAACCGCTTTAAGGCCATCTGTCCGGGGCATTGGAGAGCGTGTGCTTTTCATTTTCTTCAGCAGCAGTTCTATGGAGCTGGGGAGCGGGATGGTGTGGTGGCTCAAATCTTCATTCTTCTTTAGTGAGTTATCTGGGCCAAGGTATCTGATGTCTCCTTCTTACTTGCTTCTCTTGTGGACATTGCTCATTCAGAGCTGCTCTCTGCTAAGATAGAGGATGCAATGTGAGCATGTTCAAACGTATGGCATGCAGTGCTTTTTATCCCTAACTTTGTACCTCTTTTCCCTGGAAATATCTGAGATTTTGGAGGCCATTACTCCCCCCCCCATGCTGTGGAATGAAACCTAAGATCTCATATCTGCTAGGCTGTACCCCTACCCTCCACTGATTCTTTTTGATCACTCTCATATTCCAGGAATTACAGAAGGAAGAAATAATTGGTCTACAGCAGTGATGGTGAACCATTTAGAAACAAGTGCCCAAACTCCAACCCAAAACCCACTTATTTATCACAAAGGGCCATGTCTTGGTTACATTTCTCTTGTTGCTGGGACAAAATACCTGATACCCAAACTTAGGGAATGAAAGGTTTATGTTGCTCAGAGTTTGTAGTGTTTTCTGTCCATAATCAGCTGGCTGCAAGGCAGGGGGGCATAACAGAAGGGCAGTAGTTCATGTCAGCAGAAGACATCAAAAAGCAAAAGAAGCAAAAATGGGGTGGAGGGGGAGCAAACCTGTTTTCCTCCCTTATATCGGATGCAGGCTACCTGTCCTTAAGTGGGTGTAGAATTCACTCCATCTCCTTGCCGTCCTGTTGCACAGGCTCAGATGTTTACACAGTGATGCCCCTGACCCTCAGCTAAGTCACTAGTTAAACTTCTAAACTTCACAGACTGTTACAGTGAACAACCATTACCACAACTTGGAGTTTACACAGCCTGTGCTCTATACCGGAGGGTGCAATACTGCTGAGTTACTTAGTTAAGCTTCTGAACTTTTCAGGTTGATACAATGTATCAATAACTGGTACAGCCAACACTGCAATTAAACCTGAATACTGAGATTTCAGTTTAGAAAAAACCAGCTCATACCTTAATGTCTTTTGTCTTAAAAGAATAAAAAATAAATAAAAGAATCTTTTGTCTTAAAAGAATTTTTAAAAAGGAAAAGAAAAAGGAAAGCACATGTACTGTAGGTCACCGCCATGGTCTAGAGTCACTGTGAGTAACTGGAGTGGAAGACTAGAGTTGCATTTGCACATTCACAGCCTTGGTTGAGTTGGCAGCAAATAGGCGTTCACTGTATCTGATGGGGCAAACATGAGTCTGATTGATGAAACCATTATTGCTCTGTGCTTCCAAACTTTCATCATTGCCTGGCAAAAAATGTGCTGAGGTCGAACTACTTCATGCCCTGTTTCTGTTACTTTCTAAGATTCTCTATAGTCAGTTGGCATTTCCTGCCCGACCTGGTTTTGCTGTATAATCTTCACAGGGTATGTCTGGTCATCTTCTGTCATTCACCGCTTTCCTGAGGCATGCTGAAGAAGGAGGCAGCTAAGCATTTCTTTGTCCATAAGAGGCATTGCACATTGTATTTTGGCAGGATAAGAATCTGTAGTCAGCTGATTGAATATGAAATACAGTTTAGCAGTCTCAAAAGCACAGAGCTTACACTGCTGTGTATTTGGGAGAGACAAAGGAAAATGGAGGAAGAATGTGGAACTGGATTAAATCGTTTGAAAATGCAGCATTGTCTAGTACACTGGAATGTTGTATCTTCTTTTTATTAATTTCAAGTAATTATCCCCATTTCCACTTGTTTTTTTTTTCCTTCTATTCCCTACCGAACATCTTCACAAAACTTTATACTTTCTTAGAAATGCATAGATGTGTTAATAAGATTATAAAAAGTCAAGAACAAAATGTAGTTTTCTCAAAATGATGCTGTAATCTCCTTAAACCAGTGGCAGAAATTCTGTATCTGTCACCCCCCACCATAAAGTGTCACACTGTGACATACACAAAACTAACAATTGCTAGGAAAGACCGCTGCTGCAATGTCACGGGAAGAGTGTCAGTGCACAGTGCTGTCTTGAAGACCGAAACAATGCTGAGGTATCCCTAGATCTGCATTTTTCTTTTACAGTGTTCTGAAGAATGGTGTCTTATGGCCGTTCTGAGTTTGGGAAACTCACTGGGAGTGGCAGGTGCCTGGGCTTCCAATAGTGTTGTGCTGCAAAACATTTACTCAGGCCTGTTTTGGAGACCAGGGAGGACCCTGATGTGTGCTATTTGCCAGTCTCTTTGGTGTGAGTATGTCTTCCATGGTAAACTTGGAGCCGCCCGCTTAGAAGTTAGGGAGAGGCATGTGCATTTAGCCCCCAAGCAGCTAGGAGCCAGCTGTGGGAGCATTTTTGTCCTAAGGGCACAGGGATGACATTGCCAGATGTTTGTGAGCTGGGGAGCCCTTTCAGGATGTAGCAATTCCTTCAGAACCCTGATAATTTCATCCTGAGCATTATGTAAATGCTTTACTCCAGGCTTATATTTTATGTGCAGCTGATATTTTGAAGGTAGGTTCCTCTCATTTGTTCATTAATATGAATTTGAAGCATTCTCCAAAAGCAATACACATTTCTTGCTGTTTAGGGAAGACATAATTTGGATTGCTTCAGTGGATTGCTTCTTTCCTCCCTTTAAAATATGTCTGTTAAGCTAGCTCAAGAGCTAGTTCAGTAAATCACAGGCCGAGAGAAGTGTGAGATCCTTTGGTGTCATACTTTATGAAGCCAAAATGTGTAATATGTAGTGAGATGGGGCTTAGTTAGGTGCTTATTGTCCAATGGACTCAAAACACACGCTTCAAGTCTTTAGGCTATTGGAACAAACACAAGACTAGCAGTCAGATACACTTGGAGTAAAGTCTTTACTCTTGTGGTTGTTGAGCAGATTGTTGCCTTCTCAGAACTTTGTTTTGTACAGTTCCAAGGGGAAAGCTAAGGATTTGGAAAGGCTAGATCTTACATTCTAAGATGCACACACAGCACCTGGCATGTAGTGTTTGATCAAGGACTCAAATTTACTTTTATGCTTAACTGTGTACTTCTTCTCACTCAGTACCCACCTCGTAAACTCCTGTAGTACATCCAGCAGTATGCTAGGCACTAGGATTCAGTGTCAAGGAATTTCATGGCAGTGTTTCCCATTATTATTGTGTAGATTGGAGATGAGGGCTAGGCAGGTCCTTTCAGTTGCTTAGTGTCTTACATGACTCAGGGAAACTTACAAGGCAGAAAATATAGAAACAACTGGGTAATCCAAAGTTGTGAACTTGATTTTCACACATTTTTATTTTAAAATTTTATTAGGATTTGGATTCAGTAAATTATTGGTATACTCTTTCCAGTGGTGTGATGTTATGTCTTATTATTATTATTCTGCATATTAACTTATTCCATCTGATGTCCCTGTGAGACTGGTGTAATCATTCCTATTCTAAAAAGAGGAAATGAACAGAGGGCAAATGACTCATTCCCAGCCCAAGAGGGTGAGTGGCCAGGCCAGCCCAGTCTCCTGGCTCAGCACCTGCCAACTTGCCACTCACTTGTCTGATGTGAAGTTTATAGTAGTTGAAGAGGTGGCAGAGGAAGGGACAGAAGGAGGAGGAAGAACAGGCATAGTGCTGTTCTAGGGTGTGGGTTAGATCACACCTCCCACGTGGCAGGGTGCGGAAAGTCCATCAGAAGTGTGTGGTGCTGTTCACATTCTCTGATGTCTTTGTCCCCATGACAGTGGCTGATTTATCCCAAAACTGACAGTCGGTCCTTTCTTTCCAGCCCTTCCCTATTACCCATATTCTGAGGTTTTGGAGCAGTGTGATAGGAGAAAAGGGTCTGAGAAGACCTACCTTACTCTTTGTTCGCTATGTTCCTCAGTGGGATTCAGGGCCAGCCATCTGGCTAATGATAAAATATACTTCCATTTTTCTGTATTTTTC